CATATATACATATATACATATATATAAATATATGTATTACTTTTATAAATAAATTATTATGTTAATAATCAAGAGATAACAGACTTTACTGAAGCAAAAAACAAAAAAAAGGAGAAAATTCAACCAAGTGCTGTTGATAATAGGAGAAAAGACTTTTCTATCTCTTCATTTGAAGGTCAAGAACAAGAGAAGGTCCTTAAGGTACCAGAAGCATTCAACAGTAGAGTATTACATATTCTTTTAATAGAACCTTCTCTGCTTTTTCTCCAACTCTGTTCTCTTTCTTTTTCGAGGGTTTGGTGTAAAGGGAGCGTTGAAACCCCCACCCTCTTTCAGAAAGAGCCGAGCAAAGGAGTCAAAGCTCGACTTGCAAAGACTCCAAAAACACGACTTCTGCAAAACAGAAAGAAAGGAGCAGAGGGGGAAGAAAAAGAAGAGGACGCCAGACACAAAAATAAAAAACAAGTTTAATATGAAATAGAACAAGAAAAGCTAAGAGACTCACAATTTCAGAAATTAAATGCATGCTATTAAATTACAGCAAATCTGCTCTTGAGAAACTTAAGTTTTAAAGGTTAATTACTATAAGGGGAAAAAAGCAAAGGCGCTAGAGTTTAAAGTATTAATGTTTTCATGTGTGGATTTATTATGGTTTCTTTTTTTATTACTTTTATTTAGCATATATTATCTCATTACATTTGTCAGACGAACCAAACAATTTACATTGAACAAAACTGCTTTCTTTTAAACTGTTCAGTTGGTTTCTTTATAAATATATAAATAAATGTATGTATGTATTTTATGTTGGTTTGGAAAACTCACACAGCCTTAGCCATTTCTTTGATTCTTTTCATTTTTAATGTGCTGTTCGAATTGATAATGAAATCTTTAAAAGGTGCCAAAAACCGAATGATCCTATACTTGGATGCATCAAGTCCTGATGAATAAAATACGAACCCTAGGGGGAACAAATCACCATGTTTCTCTGCGTGTCTCTAACACACTTCACCAAACAACACCTTCCTTTCTCTCACGTTTAACTGCTAAGTCTGTCTGCCCCGTCTTCATAACTGTGAGGCTGTCTTACATAAAGATTTTAGACAGATTGGAAGGTCTCATCTGTTTCGGGGGGGCTTTAAATCTCATAAATCTGTCATGGGTTTTAAAGGAAAGTACCCCCCATACATCCTTGTTCGCTTCAGAACCTTAAAAATAGTCTTATATTTATATTTC